TACCTTATCAAAAGAGATTTATTTTATTTTATTTTTTTTAAACATTTTTTATTGATTTCTAATCATTTTACAATGTTGTGTCAAATTCCAGTGTTCAGCACAATTTTTCAGTCATTCATGGACATATACACACTCATTGTCACATTTTTAAGAGATTTTTTTTTAATGTTTATTTTGGAAGCATGTTTACTACATTGGAACTTTTGTTAAGAATAGTTTGATGAATTCAGTTCAAAAGATTTTTTTCCCCAAATAGTTAATTTGGGGGAAATATAAAAAAAATCTAGTTTGTCACCAGCTGTCCAAAAATTCAATAAGTAGCTCCCTCTCCTGGAAAAAAAAAAAAGTGAATTCCTCTTTTAAGCTGTAAAACACATACTTGTACCCTTAATAATATTTTTTAAAGATATATAAACCCCAAAATATATACAGAGAGCACAATTTGAGTGAGTTTGCCTACCATTATCAATTAATACCCCATTACTACCATAAACAGCTATTAACACTTTCACAGAAACTTGTATAAATACTAAAATTATGTATGTTTGTCTAGCTGACAGAAAGTAATAAATAATAAACATCATGATTTGACTTCATATATAACAATCTTTGTATTGGATCCAGAATTCTGAGATTCTTTTTACTTTACTGATTTTACACTGTCATCGAACCTTAATTATATTGTTCATACTTCACTCACTAGTTTTTTACCAAAGATGAAGTGGTTCTACAAGGACAGTAGCAGCTCTATGAAGATCTTTCATTTAAAAATAAGTCTTCTTATTCTACTTGCTGTTCATCAGGTAAAAACTAAACATATCAATATGAATGACTAGTGCTAAAGACTTCAAATTTATATTTCATACAGCATGTAAGTAGTTACAAAACTGGGTTGACTATATTAAAAATTTAATTTACAAGTGTCACAGTGAACAATGTTGATACATATATATCCTCACAAAGGAAAAATTCTAATCCTATAACCCACCTAGCCACCCACTCAGGGCAATTGTGTCACTAAGTTTAAATTACAAAAATAACTGTGATTTTGTTTAAAGCTGTTTATCACTACAGATGAAAACAGGAAGAAAGATTAAGTTTAGGGAAAGAGTTAATCATAAAACAAGATACAAGCATGCTTGACTATCTCAATAATAAATTGAAAACGCCAAGACAATGTCAAACTTCAAAAAATATAAAAGCTTCCCAAATAAGGCAGATTTACTTTAGTGTACATCAAATGCCAAAGTTTCTCATATTTAAATGCCAAATGTTTATAGAACTGGATATATAACACTCTTAAAATAATGGTTCTAATATTAGTTGTTTCTAACACATACTCATAACAATACTCAGAATTACTTGATAAAAACCTTTCAATATGCATACACAATTATAGATGCAGAAAATGTGTATTACTAAGATAACTCCCTACTAAGTTTCTGAGTCCCAGAGAATTTGACAGACTAACTCAGCAAACTATACTGCTAAAGCATTCCCCAGAGATCAACTGTGTTAATATAAACATCTATTTCTCAAAGAGAAAGGCATTATAAGTGAAAAAAAAAAGTTTCAAATCAAACATATATACCATAAATATGGACTTAAACTTTAGAGTTTTGAAAGTACCAAATAAAGTAATTTCTCCCAGGGAAGTTTATCCAGTTTTACATACCATTCACTGTTAAAAAGAGCAGCATTTAATACAGTCTGTACTTTTAAGTGACCCATTACATACATCCTATAATGCCTTAAAATTTACTAAGATCAACACTAAAGTTTAGTTTGAGGCAAAATATTTATTTTGTGTTAAAATTATTTAGCTGCACTAATCAAACAAAACTGGTTTCTCTTAGCTAAGCTAGGCAGTGGAGAACTTGAGAAAAGAAAGCTGTAATATAACAAATACTGCACATTCCTATTCATGTACTTTAGATTTAAACAATATAACCCTCTACAAACCTCCCGGCCATTAGTGACACTCTTAGCAGCACAGACACGGAGTGAAATATACCAAAATTACTTGTGATTAATGTTAAATCATTTTCCCCCTTGCATTTGAAGTACAGCACAACTGGTATGGAAAAGGGGCAAGGTAACTTTCCCTGCGTTATCAGGAGAGATCACAATACCCAGCTGCAATCACTACCCAAGGACACCGCACTAAAGGGGAGTGGTGGGAATGTGTATAAACTCAGTCACTATTCCCAAGGAAAACACAGTTGGGGGGGGGTTGTTTTCTTTTTTGCTGTCACCAATATAAAAGACCCGAACCTACTTCCTTAAAAGGCACATTTGTTTTCAAAATAAAGTCATGAGAGAGCCTATAAGTCAATTAGGAGAAAGGTGAGACTCTCCTTTCTTTATTTCTCCTGGCCCTAACATTTCATCTACTTCCTGCAGCCAAATTACCAAAGGAATAGGGCAGGTCACAGGATCAGGATGAAAATGTATTGGCCTTAAACCTTCGCAGCCCCATGTCCAACGATGCCTTAGTTTTTCCTCTTCCTAATACCATTCAAAGCACGGCTCAAGGATTAATCTCACCCTGGCCCACGGTCCCCATTCTCTGACCTCATTCTCCCGAGTTTGTCCCCAAATTAGCTGCCTCAATGATCTGCCAGGTGAAAGAGCTCAGGAATAAAACAAAGACAGACTTTGAGGCCGAAGTTAAACCAGCCACACAGGTACTAAAAGGGAGAGCATATGCGGTGTAGAAACACTTGAGAAGAACTAAGGAAGGTCCAAGGGCTCCTGAACAGACTGAGTTGTGGAATTGCAAGCCCTGGCGGATCAAAGCAGAAAGGGAGGGAGGAGAGCCGAAGGAACTCGCGGGAGAGACATTTTGGGAGTGTACAAGACGCGCTCCCTCTGGCGTTGAGGGATCCGCAGTCAGATCCGAGATTGCGCCCGCGTCTAGGTGACAAGAGCAGACTCTCCACCAGTCGCGACGCCCACCGCCATCCCGCACAGCGCCCAGGGGTCCCCCAGCGTCGCCCCCTTCCCACGCCCGCCGCCTGGCCTCGCCGGGCCGGGTCCAGACTGGGAAACGCGCGAGGGCGGGGCCGCTTCTCCCAACTCTCGTTCCCCTCCCGGCCCTCCCGGCAGGACGCCCCCAGCCCGGGCTCCGCGCCTACCTGTAGCACCAGCGGCTCGGGGTTGAAGGCCAGGGTCAGCAGCAGCTGCATGCGCTCTGAGTCCTTGAGGTTGCGGAGTAGGAAGCTGCCAGAGTCCTTGGTCTCAGCGTAGCGGCGCACCAGGCGGTCGAGCAGGCGCTGAGAGGGGCAGTGCACCAGGTCGGACCAGCCCTCCACCGCCTCGGGCGTGAGCAGCCGCACGTCGCCGTTGAGGCGCGCGAACTCGGTGCGGGGCATGGCCTGGAGCAGGTCGCAGCGGGGCCGGCCGGTGGCCCGCTTGCAGATGCTCTGGTCGAGCTGCGCCAGCTCGCGCTGCGAGCCGAGGCGCTTGAGCACCACTCGGCGGCGGCCGCCCTCCCGGGGCTCGCCGTACTGTGCGAAGTAGACGTTCTTCACGTTGAGGAAGTCCAGCAGGCGCAAGCGGCCCCACGCCTCGAACACCACCTGCCCGTTGAGAAAGCGTCGGCACCAGCTCGTGCCGAAGCACGCCGGGCACTTATTGAGCTGCAGGAAACGCCGGTCGGCCAGCTCGTTCCGCTGCCAGGAGGCGAGGAGCGACGGCGAGTGCAGCAC